CTTGGATGTATGGGTGGTGAAATGGATAGTAGATCAGAATTGGAAATCGGAGAGCTGAGTTCCAATTCCAGTCAGGTTCACTAGATTAATTTACGCGAAAATATCCATTGGATAATTCTTAGGATTTGTATTAGAAAATCATTATCATCTCAAAAAACAATCCAAAAAAGAACGCAAACAAAGAGAATCCAAAAATACATTTCCAAGTGCTTTCGACTATACTTTTAACCTTACAATCCAAAAAAATTCCCTGTTATTAAATAATCAATAAAATGTTGATATGCTGTAAAAAATATCTATCTATCTATCTATCTAAATATCTATCTATGCCAGTGAATATATATATACTTTCAAATTAAAAACAAAACGCTGTTTGTGTTGCAAAAAGACTAAAGAAGATGGAGATCCAATAGGAAGAGGTGAAACAGCACTGAGCACAGCATAATGAGGCGATTGCCGAAATTTGAGAACTGCTGTCTCATTGATTTTCATTGCTGAACAGCTGATTTAATCGGTGTGATGGAACATAGGTAAAAAAATAATCAAATAAATTATTAAAAATTACGAATTCTTTCTGTTGTTATCGTCATAACATTCTAATATAATCTTCAGCGTCTGCAGAAGAAGCATTTTGATAATTGCCATCACCATCAGAACAAACCACATAGACCACCAACCACGTAGCCCACTCACAAACATCATGCAATCATCACTAGTTCCATTACGATTATGAACACTATTTTCGATTTTTACTCAAGAGGGACCTCTCGAGAGCTCCTGTACGCTTTTTGAAGATAATGTAATGCTTCACATATGGCGCCTGTATTTTATGTTTTACATGTGTTATCTTCTGATGATCCTTGCTCTTAAGAAAGTTTTCTAGTGTTGGTGGTCGCGTTCGCTTTTACCCAGCATTTCGAAGCCTCGCAATCGGCAACTAAGGGCCATTTATTACTAGGCTTTATGTAACCATCCTTTCCTGTCAATTTCCGAATTCTATGAGCAGCTTCAGCAGCTTTGCGGCCAATTTCAAATAGTATCTCCAAACTGTACTATTTTAGAATTTGAACCCACCATTATCACATAAGATATAAAAAGCACAGCTGAATATTACCTATAATGACATATATTTACACTATTTACATCATTCAGACTGTTGTCTTTATCTTTATTGACATATTCACAAGGTTTCGGATGTTTTAACATCTATCTTTCGTCGTGAATATAGCAATAAAGATAAGGAAAACAGTCCGAATAATGTAAATAGTGTAAATAGTTACAATACGCCATCTCAGAAATATATACAAATGACATATATTATTATTATTTTATTATTATTATTATTATATAGTGAAGTTATAGTTTGTAGATAAGTATGTGTCATATAAGGCTGAGTCGTATAAATAATTTCTATTTTAGTTTATCAAATTTATTCTTTAAAAAATAAAGTACAATTACATTTTATTCAATTATACGTCATTATTTGTAATAACTTATCATCACTTCGATATTTTTTGAGTAAAATTTTACGGGTTTTGATGTGTAAAAGTTTTCAACAAAAACTTGAATCTGGTTTTTATTAAAGAAAGTTTTCCCCACACACAAAAAGAATTATGCTTAAAATCCAAAATATGTTTTGACTTTAAATAAGGTACAAAGTGTTGATAAAACTTAAAAAAGGAAATCAATTCCTATTGAGGAGCGCAGGGAGTAATTTAACAAGACTTTTATGGATACCTTACGGCTGCTGGGTGTATAAATATGGATTTATTCTTGCAATGTGTTTTAAGAACTGAAAATCAATAATCCCCAGACGATCTCACCGTACAACAACATTACTTTTCTCCGATGGAGTTCAGAATTTTGGTGTCAGTTGTGAAGATTTATTCTTGCCGATCTACTACTTTTTGTGTTGAATATTGTCATATATTAGTTTAATCCTAATTTATTATTAACTATCGTGCATTATTAGTAATTAGGATAATACAGTCGTCATTACAATTGGTTCCCTAAAACGGAAATTATTTATAAACTAATTTATTAATAACATGCGTGACTAGTTTGCTAATCATCTCTGCAAGGCGAGATGCTCCCAACGTTAGCCTTACGAATATTAATCTGTAATCATTGATTATACAATACAAAATCAGAGGCTTGAGCTTGACTTGCACAAATTCATAGATGGGAAACACTCAGTAAGGTCCGAACTCATTACAGAAATAATGAACTAGCTTACTAACTACGACTCTAGGGCAAGGCATCTTCATTAGTAGTTTTGATATTTACGAAGCTAAACTTAGTACGGCAAATGACCACAAATATGAGGCAACCAGTGAGGATCTAACTTTCCACTAGTAATAAATCGTCAACTACTAATCCACGGCGAAGTGCTTTTGTCAATTATATTGCATCTATTCACTGATCCGGAACTATTTCAGCAAGAACCGAGAATGTAAGTCACAACCTTCCTGGGTCAGAAACAGCAGGCGATTGTCGAGATAAAATAACTCTTAAATTGTACATGGAATATTTCTCAAGTAAGGACAATTGTTTTTTTTTTTAATTTCCTAATACTTTTCCCATATTCTTTTATCATTGCTTCCTCATCACACATTTTCTTTCTGGCCTCTTTGTTTGCATGCTTGCTTTTTTCTTTCTTTCTTTGGCTGTTCTCGTTCTCTCTCCTTCTATCTATCTATCTATCTATCTATCTATCTATCTATCTATCTATCTATCTATCTATCTATCTATCTATCTCGACCTGATCATTATCTGTCAGTTGAAGTATTTCCGCATCTTTCTATTAGTGAATATCTTCGTATTGATAGCAGACGGCTCATATCTATCTGTCTGTTGATATCTATGAAAATCTATATATGCATATATCAGTTTCTTATCTCTCTTTCCCCCCACCTCTCTCTCTCTCTCTATCTATCTATCTACCTATCTATCCGTCTATCTCTCTATCAACTGCATTTTCTCTATTGAGACCATCTAAATTAACTTCATTTCGTTTGAATTATAAAATAAACCAATTTATGTTCACGTTTAATTTTAATGCTTTGATGAAGTTGAATTTTTCTGTTACCGGGGCTACTGTTGTTGCTACTGCTAATAATAATAATAATGATACCATAAAAACGAGACGAAGAGAAAAGTGTGGGTGAATCGAGGTATTTCTTTTTTTTAAAAGATATAAAAAAGTAAAAAAAAAAATGGCTACACAAACACACAGGCGTACTAGCGACTCTACTGCCGCTGTTGTAATAACTGTAAAAGAATGACTCTCCATGCAAACGGATGCCATCTCCATTTTAGGCATTCGCGTGTTGATGTGGCAAGTCGCCAGCCTCCTGGAACTTTCCCGTAGGTTAATTGCAAAAGAACAGCGAAGATGCTAGAAAAGCAGAACTATCTGTTAAAATTGTATATATATATATATATATATATATATATATATATATATATATATATAATCATTAATTACCGCTACTGTATGGTTGGAAACAAAAATGTGAAAATACGTGCGTGTGTGTGTGTGCGCTTGTGTGTGTGTGTGTGTGTGTGTGTGTGTGTGTGTGTGTGTGTGTGTGTGTGTGTGTAAATAAATCTTTGTGTGGGTTTATGCTTGCGTGTGCTTTAAGAATGTTTGTATTAGGCTGATGTAAAAATTTCCGGTGCTTTTTTTTTAATAAAATCTTTTATTTATATAAAATGTGTAACCTAATTTTAAGTCGTTAAAATATTTTCTTTGTTTTTCTATGCTTACGTGGCGTTAAAGTGTACTTTTAGTTAAAGTGTACATTCCATAGAAAAATGATTTGGTTTTCCGGCCACTGAGGCTTCCGTATGTTGTGTTTGGCAGTGTCACGCCTTGTTTCCCTTCCCATAAACGTCACATTCGACACCCATGCTCAAGAGTTACCGAGGCTGTTCTTTATTGGCATACACATTAAACCCTGTAACCTTCTAGTCGAACAGGAGATCCCTGTAACTTTTCAGTGAACAGGTGTGTGCACACGCGCGTGCTCGCACACACAACACACACAATACACACCTTGAATTCATAGTTTGCTCTTTTTTATCTGTAGTTCCTATGTGTTATGGTGCCTGTGATTGAACTGCTGATCGAATTATTTAAACAGCATATATGTCACTTGCTTCAACTGTCTTATCCTCTAGTGATGTTTTCAATCTATTATTTTGACCAACAAATAATTATAAACTCGGCAAACGTTACAAAATCACAAAAGACATCCGAAGATGATTAGAGATAATAGTGACTGATATGTTGTAATAATAAAATAAAAAAAAGAAAGAAATTGATCCGAATGAAACAAAATCCAATGCCTAAAAAACCAGACAGTAGTTTTTACATATTTTGAAACTACAAGAGCCGTTTTCAGGAAGTAACCTGAATAATAATCTGACGATGACTTGTCTTGAGAATATGCAGCATGTAGAAGAATTTTGCATCCTAACTATATGATCGTTTACTGAAATACAGCGAGTAACCTAACTAACGAACTTGTATAAATGGATGGTACGTTAGAGAGTAGAAGAGATAGCAAAAAGAGTGACGAAGGATAAGAACTTGTGCAGAGTCATGAGCACTTCAAACAGATCCTTGTCCTGTACCTTATTAAATGCTTTTGTAATCTATGAAACATATATATATATATATATATATATATATATATATATATATATATATATATATATCGTTCTGCACTTGTATTGCTCCACCCGATCAACTGTTTCCGGTATAATTCTGCTTCTCTAGGCATCAGAACTATAAGGAATATTTTTCCCTGTGTGATTCTGTTTAGATTGAGATGTTAACTATCATTCTAGGTATAGCCAGGTTTTTCTTCATTTTAGATTGTTGTGAATCCTTTTTTATCGCCAACGGTAATTTTAACGAAAAATTACTTTTATCTTTCTGTCGAACAAGAAGAAAAAGACAAGTATTTCCATTCGTTTTCTGAATTTCATATGGA